TATTAGCTAAAACTACTACAATTATATGTATAGTACGTTCTGCTTTGATGTGTGTAATGTATAAGTAGCAGTGATCAAATATACAATAAAAGTGCTGCCTAGCCGTAAATTTGCCTAAGATTTGTAACATATGAAGTAGAAATTTATGTGGTATACCTTTGTATAAAATTTTAGTACCTTTGCTGGCCTATACCTATGAAAGTGTCCTTGGAAGGTCAGTAAAGCTAGAAAGCCATTTATAAAAAGTTGCCGTTAATGGATACCGTTGTAGAAGACTGGTGTAAGTGACAAAATACGCTAATATTCAAGTAAATAATTAACAACGAGCAACTAAAATAGGATGTTAGGCGACAGTTGTAGTTAGTTGATAAATTAGTAAATACGTAGTGCATTAAATACTAGGTATGAATGCTTAAAATTCTAATAATAAAAATCAAGAAATTAATTCATATTGTGAAGTTCCAAATCAGTTTATTGGTATCCAGTAAAAGTTATGTTTAAATAAAAATGTGTATCGCCAAGAAATTTTTTTATGATTTCTTACCGAAATATATATCCCTTGGATTTAATTAATGACAGTCTAAATTTCCGATTAATAAGGCTAATTTAATTATATTACTTGGATATAGCTTTAATATCACTTATCGTGCCATTTCATATCAGTTATGACTGAATCAAAAATTATTACCAGCAATTACGTATGGAATGGATAAAGAATTAATACTTATTTGTGAATAAGAATGATAAAGTATTACAACTAGGGCGATTAATTTATGAAATACGTTCTTTGATGTATTTTTAGAATAGAAACTGAGATAAGTCATTAAGTCGGCGATATCAGCACCAGATACAAAAATATAATTATAAACCAGGTAAAAGTATGAGGGGAACGTTTGAAAAGGGTTAAGATCAGAGTTATGGTCTTATAATTGGAAGAAAAAAGATTTAATTATCACTATAAATGCAGCTGGAATAAGGTAGATGCACCATACAGCACTTTTAAGAATGATTTGACATGTACAATATTAAATTTTTACATTTATTGAATCGCAATTTTTTTTGTACAGACGTACTAGTAATTCAGTAAGCAATCAATGTTACCTGATTGATAGAGAGTATAATAGTAGATTTAGATCGTTAATCATTGACTTGATTAATTATTAATCCTTAAATATTGGCAGGTTAGCTTGCTAATGGAATTTCAATGCAACCGACATCTATTAAATTAATTTAAATTTTACAATGGTACATATGACACATTTTCCAAATAAAATTAGTCAAAATTGAGTCATTCTTCTATAAATTAAAGGATGAAATGCAATTAGAAGATTGAATTCTACGACAGCAAGATGCTTTACAAGGTAAAGTCTTCGCAATGTTTAGTTCATACAAAAGTAAAGAATTGGATTTTGTAAACAAGCTAAGTAGGTAAGAACATACCAAAATAGTGCTAGTTTAGCTTGTGGTGAAGAAATACTGGATAAGAAATTCGCGAAACTTTTACCAGATAAAGTAATAAATAACGTGAACGATAAATAAAGGCGAAGCTACAAAAAGAAATATCCAAGTAACGACAGATAACATTTTAATCAGCTTGATATGAAGCTTATTACTCTGTGTGAAGATGGATGAATTCCAACGATTGTGAGTTCTGCTGAATAATCTAGCGATAGTTTTGGCATATATGATAACAATTACAATTAGCGGTATAACATAGCCAATAATGCTAAACAAGCTAAAGTATGTAATATTAAATATCTCGCTAATATTATTGATATCGCATATCCTAAGTCTCGCTGTATTAACGTTAGCTAAAACTAGAATTGGTATTCCTACTATTGCAGCAATGAACCACGTTGATCCAACGGCAATAATTAATTTATTTCTAGTATTATACAAGGGTCGTTTGTGATTTCGTGTAGCGATGATAAAATAGCGATCGATGCTGATAGCGCTTAAGATTAAGGTAGAAGAAATTAAACAAGTTAAATTTATAAAAAAATATCAATTTGCAAGCTATAGTCGAAAACAAATTTGGCATTTCTGTCATAGATAGGACCGCATTAAGTTATGACATTAGTAATCCAGTTAAAAGAATCATTCCATCTGAAATAGCCATGTTAAAGATTAAGTGAAATCTCAGTGTATGAAATCTTTTCGTCTCGATAATCGCCTTGCAAATCAAGCCGGTGGTAGTACAGCCAAGTGATGTAATGACGAGCATAGAAGGCACAGTAAATGAAGGATTCATATCTTTGATACTACTATTGCTATGCGATATGCAAAGTCCTACGGTTATGTTTCTCCCGTATATATTTGAAGACATCTTCGTACCGGTGATTTGCTAATTACAATTATTAGTAGTCCTCATAAAATCAGTAACAGTAGATACTTGAAATGAAATTTATTGAGGTAGCATTATGGAATAACCATTCCGGAAGTAAATGGATTGAGTTATGGAATTTGGAGGCGTTGGGGGCATACTTGGCTGTTGCAGCCTTAGCATTCGTACAGATTCTAAGACCCAGGTTTCCTTGTCGTGGGCTGAACACGACAGGAGGGTATTTATACAGTCTGTGCATATCTTGGTATTATATTGGTTGATCAGATTATACTCTCTTCGTCAATAGGTACTTGAGCTACTACGCATCACCGTAGTAACGTCATTGATCTGAAATTTATTTCTTCGTATAGCACAATAGTAATTAAGAAATTGATTTGATTACAGTCATTTATTAAGGACAACATTACATATATTTTAACAAAAGTCCCTACATCTACATTTTCCTTTATTTGTTCATTGTCAGAATATAATGTTTAATAATCCTAATTACCTTCCTTTCAAGTAAACACGAACATTTGTGTAGAATACCATACATTATTTTTAATTTACTTATCTACTTTAATTTAGGAATTTCTATAACATAAACACTAGCTAAATTTGCTTTTTGATACAGGTATAACAATATCCTGTCATAGCCGTAAAAGTTATGAAAATATCAATCCTTTTTCTCTTAATTGAATTATGAATACGAAATAGATAATAATATTTTTCATCCTTTGATGAAAAATATGTTCTATATAAATGCCATCGCTAAATTTTCCTAGGATACAAGTAATTGCATTGATATTGAATGACTTGTTATAAACCTAATTTAAACCTATTGTTAACATTAATAATGATAAAAATATCAATAATAACAACCTAATTCACTTAGTCTTGAATTTTTGTCGCCTAATTTGGATACAAAATGTAGTGAAAGAACCCCTAACCGCAGATTTGTAATGCGATTACTTAAAATATGAGCTCTTAAAGATGTGTCCTAAATAGTAAAAGCCATTTTATTGACTTTCAAAATTACATTTATTGCGTTCGTCTGTAAGAGAGCAAATCCAATTTCTTTCCCTCACATAAACAGTTGCAATTGGCTAAGATAAACTGAATAATCGACATAAGCTTAAGCCTCTACAATTACAATTCCATACAACTTTTGAAGTAACAATCAAATGCTCCGCTACAAAGGTTATATTGCTACTAATTTCTGAATGAATACTTTCGATTCTAACGCCATGGCTAAAAACAATTTAATTTACTCAAGTCGAATCAGTTTATTTAAAGGTGTACAAATAATTGATGGTATTTCTTGCGATATTCGAACTGAAACGAGTCTTTTTCAACTATATTTATACAAATCTCACATGTAAATCTGTATCAATAATAATATATTTAAACAAATGAAATTCATATACATCGTATATCAACTTGATTATCGGCCTATTTAATATTTATACGATGATTTAAAAATAGTTTTAATATGTCAAGTAAGGATGAATACGTAAAGATGATAGAAATGTCAGAGATTGCCTTAACATTGAGAAAAAGCTTATTTCACTCTATCCTAGTTCTCGTATTCCGTTGAATTTTGGGCGGTAATAAATTATGAATAGTCCTAAATTTAAATCTTTAA